GTATAAACTGTCTAAAGTTTACAGATGATGGCACAGAGAAATCTTGAAGGAGAAAGTATATTTGCTGTTAGATACGTCTGTGGTTCAAGGTGCTTTATTTACAGGAATCAATGAAAGGTTTAGTTTACATTAATCGTGTCTCAAACAGATGTGCACTGCATTTGTATAAAACAGTCATGAATTTACCGGAAATCTAACCACACAATCCATTATGGGAGGCTGACACTCTTGATAAAGACAAGAATCTCCTTTTGATCTCTGAGCTCTCACTGGAACTCAGCCCAGTGTAGGAGCCTGAGTTTTTGTACAGCTTCTCCATGACTCTTCTGCACTGTGCTGCTCTCAGAGCGCAGAAATAAACAGCTGAGTCACTCAGGCTGAGCTTGGAAATCGTGAGGGTGGTGGAGCTCCCAGCTACATCAGAGCTGAAACGGTCTTTAGCGAAGTCTGCAGTGTGATCTCCAGTCCATGTACCACCTCCTTTTAACAGAATGTATTGCAGTGGGATGTGAGGATACTGACGATACCAGTACAGACGATAACCAGCACTGCTTGTGGAGAAAGAACATTGAAGAGACACTGATCCCTCTTCCTCCCCAGAGACCTTTGTCTGCCGAGGAGAGATGGAGTCACAGCGTACAGCAGCTGAGAAAGAATGGAAAAAAAATCTAAAGTAATAGTAATAGTACTCAAAAGCAAATAATTACAATAATGATTAATGTATTATATGTGAAGAATACCTGGTGAGAAAAGTAAAGTAATACAAATCACCAATAGAACTTCCATTTGAAGAGTGAAAGTGTCACTGCTTAAGGCAGGAGGAGGTGTTTCTGATCCTGAGCCCTGTTAGAGAATGCAGGCAGACTTAGTTCATCCACAGTGTGTCTTTGTCACAGGTCTTCACTGTTAGCCAATCAGAAGCCCAGCTCTCTCTTCACAGTCGTATGATTCATGAGAACAGCTGGTCTGACTTTGGGCTGTCTGCAGTAGCTGTTTATTGCATGATTGTTAAAAGCTACACAGCTTTTGCATTGTAACAGCACACATACTGTACTGTAAAAATATGACAACAACATAACAATGTTTCATCTTCTGTGGAGGAAGAGAAATAATTCACTTACAGTAAATT